CGATCTATTTCACAGAGTAAAGATCATAGACAAACTTAGTGTGCATACTTGGTGTATGGAATAACTAATGTTTGGAAAAACATAGTGTACATACTTGGTGTATGGCATGACTAGTGTTTAGAAAAACATAGTGTACATGCTTGGAGCATGGGACAACTATTGTTTTTAAATTCAAGTATAAGGTTGATAGTTTGAAACAGTATGCAATGAATGATGGGTAATCAATATGATGATAAATAAAAGATGTTTTATTTATATTCATAAGTTCTGAGACCATATTGGATTCGATTATTCTTGTGTTTCACTATGCATGTTTTGACTTCCAGAATAACTAAGTCACTCTTCCTGAATGACTAAGTTATTCAAACCATCTACAGTCGGTCATATGTTGGAAGTAGATATGAATCAAGACTGTCATAAAGCTGGATTGTAGATGTCCAAGGTATGGGACATAACAAGGATTGCTGCAACATTCATGAGTGCTCATAAGTTCCGAGTATTGGATTCAACCCACGCTCACTGATATCACTTCATGGAATTTATCTCGAGTGATCGTGAGACGGTAATATCATATAAGTCTTCAAACCTAGAGATATGACTTGTTGCCTATGAGTTGGTTATACATTGATTGTATGTAAACGCATTGGTAACTCGATGTTATAAAACGTGCCTTTGTGTATGATTCAACAAGTTGTAGAACAAGCATATGAGTCGAAGTTTATCTGTTCCTTATTGGATTAGAAGCGATATATGGGCCCCTCGATGATTTTGTGTTGACCCATGTACCGGGCCCGGTCAGAACTAAGTTGATGTGTTCAAATAAGTTCTATGTCAAACAAATCAGAAATCGGGAAACAAAATGCTGGACAATCACTTATCTTAAATGGAGTATCATCATCATCTAAGTTCCGTGAGACCTTGAAAGAGATACGATTGCTGATCGGTTTCGTGAAGTTATTCTTGCAGATATTTTATTAGACTTATCCAAGTGGGAGACTGTTGGATTAGGTGTCTAAGTTAATAACTATTTCTGGGATGTACTTGACCCGGTTGGCATGGTCCATTTGGGTTGAATGACATCATGCATTTGGATAGACTAAAATGAGAGAAATAACACTTAAGGTTTATTAATATATTATAAGTTCTAATATATTAATAATATTTATTAATAAGTATAGTAAGAATTAGAATTTGAATTGAATTATAGTATTGATCAAAAGTGATCAAAAGAAGAACAATTAAATATATGGGTTGATTGTGTAAATCACCCATTACTTGTATAGTGGGCTAATGCTCCATGGATTATCAAATTAGGCTAAAATCCATAGGATACTCCATGGATGCTCCATGGTGTATTTGAACCCATGGATCATGGAAATGAAGAGCCATGTCAAGTTAGGGTTTACATGGTGTAACCCTACCTATGACACACTATAAAAGGAATAGGTGAGCAACCAAAATCGGCACTAGTGTGAGAACAAGAGGGCATAGCTGATTTTAGAAGTGTTCTATTTTTCTCAAGGTTATTCCAAGTGTATTTGGTGTTGTGTGAGACATTTGAGGCATCACACTTGAGGTGCTAGGCTCACAAGGTTCTTAAGGAATCCAAACCACAAAAGGTATGTTCTTCTTCTAGCATTTATGTTTAAAAGTTCCCCATGCTATGCTAGATAGTTGAAGAACCTTGGAAAATCAATTTTGCATGTATCTTAGTAAAACATAGATCCAAGGTTTCTAGGGTTTCATGTACACCATAGGAGTGTTAGAATGCTCAAAACCCATGAGTTATACAGTAGTGATCTGTAGATCTGCCTATTTGTCTGTTGACTGATTATATGTTTATCTGTTATGTATATGTCGATATGTTATGGTTTTTTGGTTGAGACTTTACTACTTTGTGTGTGAGTCAACAAACCAGGGGTATTCCAGTCCGATGACTGAGTGAGCCCGAGGGTATTCCAGTCCGATGACCGAGTGGACCCGTTGTATATTGGCATTCTAGTCCGATGGCTGAGTGGACCCGTTATATATTGGCATTCCAGTCCGATGACTGATTGGGCCAGGGGTAATCCAGCCCGATGGTTGTGGACCCGTGGGTATTCCAGTCTGATGACTCGAATACCCAACATGCTTGTTTGTATATGTTATGTTGTGTGGTGGTACTTTGAGGGAACTAACTAAGATTTGGCTTATAGTTTTAGTTTATGGTTTCTGGTACTTCAGATGATCGTCAGAAAGCAAAGGCGTGATCGTACATAACTTCTTGTTTTATGGCTTTGGGTCTTGGGAAAACTCTGATTTTGAATTTATGCTTTTGGAAACAATGACTCTTTTGTAAACAATGATGTCAAATGGTTGATTTTGAAAATTTTTAATTTTCTTTAATTTTTGGAGTGTTACATTTGGTTTTATAACAAAAACATTAAAGTTTAGAAAACAAGAATGCAAAATAAAAATAAGCAAAATAACTCTTTGATTAATTGGAAAATCATTCAAAACCAATGTTTACAATCTGTTCTCATAATCATAAACTCTATTATGAATATGTATATATAGCCTAACAAAACAACTTGTATTAGACTAGGAAACTTATGACCAACTTGTCATAAACTAAACTTTCCATAAATTAGATTGTTTGGTCTCCAAGTCGTCATCGACTTAGGATTCCAACAAACATAAGAAATGAAATATAAAATATTTGTATTTAACCAAAGAATGATCAACTCTTCGGAATTTTTTTTTGATAAAACTTAAAAATTTTCATTTCTTTAGTTTTGTCAATAATACATTATATTTACTAAAATTTAGATTTAAATTCAAATTTAATTTAAACTTATGAACCAAAGAAGCATTCAAAATTTTGATAAAACTTAAAATTTTTAATTACTTTAGTTTTGTCAACAAAGCACAATATTTACTAAAATTTAATTCAAAATCAAATTCATTCAAACTCTATGAACCAAACACGCATTAAATTTAAGAAAATATCCAGAAAAGTCCTAAAAATTTACCGTAGTTTATGAAAAAGTCCCAAACTAAAATTTGTTTATGAAAAAACATGAATTACCGATAAAAATGACGATTTGACCATATTTTCCCTGTTTACTGGTTTCATTACTTACATGTTTCATTAAAGTCCCACTATTGTATACTAATTTACGAATAAGTCTCAAACTAAAATTTAGTGATGATTTGGTCATTTCCTCCATATAAGATACATTTTACCAGTTTCATTGCTGACCTGGGCGTTTAGTCATTAAATGAGCTGATTAGATGAATATGTTTGGGTTATATAATGCTATGTTTACCATAAAACTTGATATCTTGATATATCGTATATTTTTTTGGAATATAAAATGCATTCAACGAAGACTGCAATAATTATATAAACTAGCAACAACTGTATCATTTTTTACGTTTATAAGAAATTTCAAATTGTCTATCTAATTTTATGTAACCCAATATATCCATCTCATCAGACATCAGCTCATTTCCAGTCCTGGAAGCACACATTTTAGTGGTTTCATTGCTGACATATATACATAGTCATAAATGAGCCGATGAGATGGATATCAAATTTTACAGTAAATGTAGCATTATATAACCTATCGTATCCACCTTATCAGCTAATTTAATGATTAAGTGTCTAAATCAATAATAAAACCGATAAAATGTATGTTACATGGAGAAAATGACTAAATCATCACTAAATTTTAGTTTGAGACTTATTCGTAAATTATGGCAAAATAGTGAGACTTTAATGAAACTGGTAAGTAATGAAACCGGTAAACCGGAAAAAAAGGGTCAAATCGTCATTTTTACCGATAATTCATGTTTTTTCGTAACCAAATTTTAATTTGAGATTTTTTCGTAAATTAAGATAAAATTTTAAAAATTTTCTAAAGATTTCCCATAAATTTACATTGGTTAGGATTATACCCCCTTTTCTTGAATCTTCGATAGCAAAACTTAGTAGGAAATAGATAGAGGGAAATATTTAATTTACAACAAAACTGCATATAAGAAATAGTAGAGGGACTATTTATGTATTTAACTATTTCTTGATCATAAACCCTCCCTTTCCTTTCTTGAAACACGATTGAATTCGACTTTCTCACCTGATCGCCTCTGCAAATCGGGAAAGACGTAGCACGGCCGAGAGTACAAGCGGACGAGAGAAACGCCGGTCCCGCCGGAACCTTGCTGAGATAGTTCTCCATTGGTCTCCGGTTAGTTATAATCATCGTTACATTATCTTATATTCAGTGTTCTTTCTTTTTGTGCCCTAATATTTCTTTTTTTTTTGGATCATTTTTTTTCCTTTGTTACCATGTGATTAGGAATGTTAGAGATGATTAAAGTGCTGAAAGTTAGATGATTTACGCGATCTTGATGTTGTAATTCCAATTCTGTAAAAATAAAAAAATCGTGAGCATCCGATGTTATGCATGAAACCCTATTTCTTGGGCTCTCTAAATCGAGACATAGTTTTGTTTCTCTTGTCTCTAATCATGTAAGTACGTTTTATTTGTAGGCTTTTCTTCTGATAACTAGTGGAATTGAGTTTGAACTCTTCTTGTTCCGTGGAAGGATTTCTATTAGCTTCCATGGAATGATTTTAGGTTAGTAGATTAACAATTACAGTCACTTTATAAAGTACTTTACTTTTCCCAAAATCAATTTGCACAGTCACATGCCTACTTGGGTTTCAATGCTGTTTTGAGTTCTGTATAAGATGAGTGGATCACCTTTTAATAACTCACCTTATTGAAAAGGGAATCTGAAAGATGAATGTTGTTGATGGACATGTTTCCTTACTCATGATAATTTGAAACTCATGAACTTATCAATGTATACTATATCGGGATTTGTATAGCTATAGTAATATTCATTAGTTTCAAGTTTTCATAGTTCCCTACCTCCAGAATAGTAAAATAAATCCAAAACTAAGCCCATTAAGATCTCTTGGATGATGTAAGTGTTACACAAAAAGTTATCTTATGCATCTTACAGTGATATACATTGATCATGTTAGTAGATATTTGGTTTACTGTATTTAGATTATTCTGGTCATATGGTTTTCATTTTGTTGTGTATTGAAGTTGCTTCCAACACAGGTAGGTGATGGCGATTGCTATGTATCCTGTTCACTAAAGGGAACTCCAGATTCATTCCTGGATTAATTGGAAGATATCACAGGGGACACAAATGGTAACTATGATGTCCAGTGATCTGATGCATTCTAGAATGCATGAAGGTGGACCCCACAAACAGTGTGATAATAAGGTGGAGGAAAATGGTGGTAGATGGTATTTTTCTAGGAAAGAAATAGAAGAAAACTCACCATCAAGATCAGATGGCATTGATTTGAAGAAGGAGACTTATCTTCGCAAATCTTATTGCACATTCCTGCAAGACTTGGGTATGAGACTTCAAGTGTAAGTCCATTTATGTCTCTATGATAGTATGATCATTGTTTCTTGTTCCTTTTATGTTGATTTATTCATATAATTTCCAATATCACATAAAAAGTTTGCCTTTTCACCTTTTGCATTGTTGCATCACCAATTTTGGTGTTTGATATTCAATAATAGTAGATCACATAGAGATTACTCTTGCATAGGTTTCTTTTTGTTTTGTGTGTGTATTATTTACATGGGACAGCTTAGTTTGGGTCAAAGGTGCTTTTAAATTACTCTATGATCATTCTTCCTTTTTCTTTTATATTTATTTATTCACATGATTTCCAATATCACATAAAAAGTTTGCCTTTTGCATGGAAAATAACTAAAAACAATTTAATTTAAGTTTTGAAAAATTTTAAAGTCATTATTGTCATTGAAGATTATGTATATAAAACTAAATAAATATTTAATTAGTTTACATAAAATAAAGGAATTATAATTATAGAAGAAGAGAACACAAGATTGTGGAACTTGTCTGTGCAAAAGACGTGAATGCCCTCCTCATTAGTTTTTTTTTTTTTGAAATAATAAATTGGATATGGTCCATGCAGGCCCCAAGTAACTATTGCTACAGCCATTATCTTTTGTCATCGTTTCTTCCTTCGCCAGTCTCATGCGAAGAATGACAGGAGGGTTAGTTATGTCATTTTACACTTTTTTGGGGAATCCATTTTTTAATTTTGTAATAAAATAAGGACATAAACTAATATATTTAGAATGCAGACAATTGCAACAGTCTGCATGTTTCTTGCAGGAAAAGTTGAAGAAACTCCTCATCCTCTAAGAGATGTTATCCTTGTCTCCTATGAAATCAATCACAAAAAAGACCCTGAAGCACTTCAAAGAATCAAACAAAAGGTAAGTACATTGGTATTTCTCGGCTGGAAAAAAGACGTAAATGCCCTTGTTGTTGTTGTTGATGCAGGAGGTGTATGAAGAAGAAAAGGAAATAATATTAATAGGAGAACGTGTAGTACTTGCAACACTTGCTTTTGACTTCAATGTGCATCATCCATATAAGCCACTTGTGGAGGCAATAAAGAAGTTCAAAGTTTCCCAACAGGCCCTTGCACAGGTGGCATGGAATTTTGTCAATGATGGGTAATGCTCTTGTATTCCTTTATATTATATATAGAAAATAAAGTGAGGGTGTGGTGGAGGGACTTTTTCGTCTTTTTGACATTAAAAAAAAGGGGGTGCAACTGCAGGCTTAGGACATCCCTGTGCTTACAATTTAAGCCCCACCACATTGCAGCAGGTGCTATTTTTCTTGCTGCTAAGTTTCTTAAAGTCAAATTGCCTTCAGATGGTGAAAAGGTTTGGTGGCAGGAGTTTAATGTTACTCCACGTCAGCTTGAAGGTTAGTTTTATTTTTTATTGGTTAAAATTTCCATTTTTTCATTGTTATTTGGTTTTAGTATGACTACAGAAAACCACAATGTGCTTTCATTATTATCCACTTAACTGTTTTCTGCAGTGATTAAATCGTGATACTTTTTGACACTTAAATTGTTATTGTTATTATTATTATTTTGTAGTTTTGTAATTTGATCATTATTTACAGTTTAAATGAATGATTTTTCAAAATTGACCCAAAACTACAGCTTTATCTGTACTGAAAATAGTATCTTCCAAATCTGAAAATGGTCTAGAACATATTTTCTTGAATCTATTATTTTCCTCTATTCCAAATATCATCTTCTGTGTTTAAATTTTTGGGTTAATATCATAAGAGACCTCATATATTGTGTTTTTCCGGATTAAACCTCAATTTTATATTTTTCCATTTTTTTTGATTTGGCCCTTTTAGCAGTTTTTTTTTTTTTTTTTTTTTTTTTTCAAAAAAACTTGTCAAATGTGATGGTTTTTTTGAAAAAAGTTAAAAGGTTGAGGGTCTTTCAGAAAAAAAAATAAAAAGCGGAGGGTTATTTCAGGAAAAATGAAAAGAATGCAAGGTCTTTTTCAGGAAAAAAATAAAGTTGAGGTTTAATTCTGAAAAAAACCCAATAGATAACTTTTTTTTTTTTTTTAATGATATTAACCCTAAATTTCAACAGTAAAAGTAGCTTATTGAACTGTAAAGTTAAATGTGGATTTCTTTATTGCATTGTAATATTTGTAAATGAGGACAAATTTGAAAATTTTAGAACTTAAATTGAACAAAAAGGATTTAATGTTGGCAAAAAAAATCTCATTTTCCAACTTTCAATTTTTGAATGAGGACAAATGTGTAAAAGTTAGAACTTAATGAAAAGTCTTGTTTTTATGACTTTATCTATTAAGTCGTTTTTAGTCTTTTAAATGAGGAAAAATTGCAAAAAGTTAGGCCTTAATGCGATAAGCCTCATTTTTCTGTATTTTCTATCAAGCCATTCTTTAATTAATTTATTTCTTTTGCACTGAAAGTCTCATTTTTGTCATGGAAAACCCATAAATTTTTAAATGTTAGTTTTCCATAAACTGTTAATTTTTCATTTATAAAATATTAACTAGTCTTATTTAATCATTGCAGAAGTAAGTAACCAAATGTTGGAACTATACGAACAAAATCGGGTCCCGCCTTCCCAAACTAGTGAAGTCCTTGATGGAAGTACAGGTGGCGGTGGTGGTGGTGGAGTTACTCCAAAGGCACACGAAGACAACAACACAAATGACAGCAACTCTCACGTGGGCCCCACCACCACCACCACTTCCAAAACCGATCATCCAAGAACATCCCGGAATCAAAGCAATGACGATGGAAGTACGGATCATAATAAAGACATCGATTCCGATGTCGAAAATGACGACGAATCCGATCAAAACCCGGAATGCAGATTCCGGTCGCCCAAGGAAGCGGTGAAAAAGATCGATAAAGATAAAGTCAGGGCGGCTTTTGAGAAACGAAGGAAAGAACGTGGCGGTGATGTGAATCGGAGGACGGAATCCATGGATGATGATGATTTGATCGAGAGGGAATTGGAAGATGGAATAGAATTGGGTGGGGAATCTGAGACAAAGAAACGGAATCGGAATCGGTGTGATGAGGTTGAGGATTTTGAGGCGGTGGAGGAAGGGGAGGTGGGGGTGTTGGATGATGATGGTGGTGATAGGCGGCATAGGGTGCCGGAGAGTGGCCGGAAAAGAAAGGGCGGTGGGAGTGGGACCCCACCACCGGACAAACGGAGAAGAAACTAGAAGGGTGTTTAGGTGAAGGTAATTATGTTTATGTTTATTTGGTTTTTTTGTTTGTTTGTATTTAAATTAGAATGTGGTATTTATAAGTTTTGGTTTTTTGGTCATGGGGAATGGTATCTTTTAATTATGAATATAATTTATATCTTCCCGTTTTATCATCTCATAGTCATAATAGTAAGGCTGTTCATATCGTTACCTTATGGTGATGTATGCATTTGTATCATTGTCAAACAATTTATCTGAAAGATTCAAAGATTTGAGGTCTTTTTCCATTGAATCTTCCTGGAAATCTGTTTGTGTATATATGACAAATGAAATGTCAACTTCTAGCTATGATGAGAAATCACATGTGAAAGTAACTGAATTCAAGGATCAAAGTGATTGTAATGTGAGTGTAGTAGCAATGTGTCATTCGGTAATAGTTGGTAGGTTAACATTGGCTATCGAAAAAATGTTTTGAAAATAAAAAAGATTATCTTTTCAGTATTATTTTTGGATTCATACATTAGGCTCTTTTTTGAGACAATTTAATCACACAATGTAAACAGGCATTGACAACTTGGTGCTTCAATTTGTCTTGCTTTCTTGGGCTCCGGTAACATTGAGAGCTTATCCATTTTGATGATGATTCACTTTCTCTATCTATCACATTGGCTCACCTATTTGATCCAATAAAACACGAATATTTAAAAGTAGATTTGAAACCATGTGTACAAGTTTTGTAAGTGCAATAAAAACAATAAACAAATTTGTTGTTGCAAGTTGCAAGCGTGAACTCAAATAGGGACAGAAAAAAAAAAAAAAAGAAGATACTTGATCACGAAGTTAAACAAAAGCACTGGAATTTCATTGAAACAAAAGAACGACACATGCTCCTACTTATACTAAAGAAATTGAAACCTACTCAAACTTCTAAAACAATATAATAAAAGACTTTGACTCCTAAAACTGGAAATTAATAAAAGACAACTTTCCTAAAAAAACCCTAGACTTGAATCCGATTAACCCAACAAGTTTGGCAAACTCGATTCGGAAAAGGAGAATATTAATCACTCACATAATGGTTCATACACTTACACATAATGGTTCATACACTTACAAGTTACAATATGATAATATTTAATAGCGTTACTTCCAAACCAATATCAGCTTACAATATGATAATATTTAATAGCGTCACTTAATGAAAGGTAGCTCAACGGTATCCGGTGTTGCCCTCCCTTTTGAGGTTGAGGGTTCAAGTCCCGTTGTGGACATAGGTGGATTTAAGGAGTAGATTAGATTTAACGTTTCAAAAAAAAAAAAAAAAAAAAAAAAAAAAACCAAAAGGATCCAATTTTTTTAAAGAGAATGAGCAAAGGCATATACTATTCCAAACCAAAGGGACCATTAGTGTAATTTACTCTGAATAGTTTGAATCTGGTTGAGGTAATGTCTAAAAGAGAGCTCGGTTTGACTTGGACTGCGAAGACAGTGAACCAAAAGTCTACCCGTTCGTAGTTCAAGACTCGCCCCAATTCATCAGATTCAGAGACTTGAGAGTCATAGTTTCAGTCTGGGTTCCCAAATACACCTTTATCAGATTCAGACATAATTCCCGAGGTGGGCTTATCTTTCCATAATCATATATAAAATGTGTGTATCACTTTGTTGATTAATCAACTTGACATTTCCATGAATTCTCCATAATCACTTAATCGTTCATCAATTATGCCTCCCCTTCATTTCACTAAGATGATTAATTCTTTTCAATTGTTTCTATTTCTTTTTCTATTTTATGTCTATTTTCACACTTGAATTGAATTCAATTGTTCGTTAGTGTGATATATAATTGAGTGTGCTAGGGTAGTTCGCCTTGTGATATCCATATACACAATGTTATCATGAGTGTTTGATCTCTTTCCGAATTTATGAATCAAGCTTTGTATTGGTTGTATTTTTATTCATATATGATATACGGCATCTAAAAAGCTTCATCAATAATGATGTTTATTGTACTTTTATTACTATTATGCTGTTGTATGCAGTTCCATTATTGTTTGAGGTTTTAATTCATTTGAATACTTTCGTCTCATTGGAGTTTCTTTTTTATTAAATTTGGTTGCAGAGCTTATTTTGTTTCCATTTATTTCCAAGATTCAAAGTTTTGTGTATTTGACAAATGGATTCAAGAGAACAGCAACCATTATTTGATCTTAATGAACCTGCTATGGAGGATGATGAGAGTGACTTCCTCTTGTGCTTCAAGCCCAAAACGATTGTCCTAAATACTGTTGACAATTTAGTTACATCCAAGACAACCATTATATCTTCTTCTAGATCAGTAAATAATCATCAGTTTTCTCATACCTCTTCTGGTTCAGCCTTTCAGCCTTTCATCAAGTCAAAAGGAGATCGGGAGAAAGTAACTAAACTCATGGATCCAAGTGATTGTAATGTGAATGTAGCAATGAATCCTTCTAGAATAATTGGTAGGTTAATGTTGATTATCAAAAATATGTCTGTCAAATAAAAAATTCTCTTTTGAACATTATTACCCTGTAATCTACTCGTATATGTCCCAAAGAGGACTTGAACTTAACCCTCAACTCATTATATTTTAAATAGCTTCGATCTGATGATAATGAACTTGTTATAACCAGGTTTCCCCTCTTATCGGCTTGAGAAGTGAAGGGTTTGTTGTGGGGACAAACTGTTTTAAAAGTTGTCTCATCTAAAGTGACAAAACACGAAAAACTTGCATAGCTAACCAACATGTGTTTGTATACTATTCGCATTTGATACATTTGGTTTCCTATCACTAGAGGTTGTGGAACTTCTCAATAGAGTTTAATAGGTCATGCATAACACTGTTATTTATGACTACACGATCGATGTATGTAGTTTCTTTTAAATAAATAGTTTTGCAATCCAAAAATGGCTAGCAACGCAGTTTGTTGTCTGTTTGCTTCCATCTCAATGTGAACGAAAACTTTGATAATGCCACAAAATCCAACTTTAAAGTTTAAACCAAAAAAATGACAAAAAAAAAAAAATCAATGTGTGGAGATTCAAGTCTAAGTTTCTTGTGTTTTTACTAGATTTATCTTTGAGTTTAGAGTTGCCAAGAAAAGGAATAGGAGGAATTGGTGAAAATTGGGAAGGAACAGAAAAATGGAAATTTTTGCTAGAGAAACAAATAAAGTTGATTGTTTAATTAACCAGGTTTTGTTAGAAGTACGTTTTCCAAATAAAGAGACTGATTATTAGTTACGACTTTGGTTATATGACCTTTAAAACATGAGCTGCATCAAAAGGAATCCAAATTATTTTAAACAGGGTTATATGTTGGGTGTTCGATCTATTAGTTTTTTTTTTGTAGGAATTTACAATACTTTAATGAATAGATAACAAAAATTTCAACGAATTATTTTCTGAATATAGGAACACATCACAAGGTAATGCCTTGGGAATTAAGTTATGAATAAAAACTATTTGTCAACTCTTTGTTGATAATAAATAATAGAAATTAAATCTTTTAATAATGTCAATTTGATGCTATAAAAGTCAACTTATGTTGGTACAAATTGATGAAAGCATCAGACATATTTTTATAGTTCTGTCGAGGGTTGATTTCCATGGATGCGCCCAAGAGGTTGGATCCTAATTCCTATTTCACATCCTTCTTCTTATTTTATGTTTTTATTGTTTTTGTTTTGTTTAATGTATGATTGTTTGTGTGTTTATGGTTTATCAGTGTTGAAGATGTGGTCACAGTGGATGTTCATGATGCTAGAAAACTTCTCATCGATTCCGGTCATCGTTATCTTGATGTCAGGTTAGCGAAAAAACAAACCGATAAAACACACCAAAACCATATATCAATGGATTAAAATTTGGCACTAGGTATTGAATTGTTATGTTTAATTAGCCTGTACTTTTTACCTTAATTGAAGAACTATATATATAAATTGTTTTTTTTACCATATTTCAAAATATAATTTTTTTTCTTTCACTAAATTACCCCTCGTAACCACATATATACCATAGGGGTACATACGTACATACCAAGCACCCCCAAATCCATGAACATGTATACTTTTGGTTCATTATATAATCATGTATATAAAGTTATATATGATTTTTAATTGCCTAAAAATTAACTATTATGCATGTTATTAAGTTCCGTCATCTAAGCAAATTAGATCGTTAAACATTTGTTTAGCATATATGATAAAGTGAACTTACCTCCTTTTGTAAAAAAAAAAAAAAAAAAAAAAAAAAAAAAAACTTTAAGTGAAACATAAGATGAAAATATTTTTGGGTAAAGAAAACATGAGGTACAAATCAACTGTTGAAATGAAAATATGTTATCATAATTAGAAATTACAAGTTTGAAATACATTTTTGCCACACACAATACTATTAATTAAGACTATGTAGACATGTAATAACAAAAGTTTCATATTCTTGAATATGGTTTTCAAGCCTCTTTAACAAACATACAAATTGTCACCTTATGTGTTTTATTTTTAACTTGTACTAAATCTAAAAAAAAAATAACAGGACCAATGAAGAATTCAACAAGAGTCACGTGGACAATGCACTAAATATCCCTTACATGTTCATCACACAAGAAGGTGCGTATTAATTACACCACATCATGTACATGCTTCATTAATCTATTTAGTTATGTGACACTTATTTTTATACTAAATCAGCCCTTAAAGTTCTTTTTTACAGGAACAAATGATTTTGACTAACTTTTTCTATGTTATTGCTTTTTATGTATATGTTCATTTTTGTAATTCATTAAAGCATTCTTGCAATGTACAGGAAGGGTTAAAAATCCTGAATTTGTAGCTCAGGTCTCGGCTCTTTGTGACAAGGAAGATTCCCTAGTTGTGGTATTTTTCTCAGAATAATAAGTAGTACATTTTTCGTTTGAAAATGAATACATAAATTTCTTCAATTTTTTTATAAAACAAACACAACATTTTCTTTTTTATCTTGTACATGTTAAAGGCTTGCAACAGTGGAGGGAGATCTCTTAAAGCTTCTGTGGACCTTCTTATTGCCGTATGTTATTAAACCTTTCTTTCCATTTACCATTTTCAATTGATAGGCTCCTCAAACATTATGATTATATATTTTATATATGCTGATTGTATATATATGTTGTATGTATTATATATCTTTCTTCTCTGATGATATCTGTATATATGACATATTTATATGCGTGTAGGGCTACAAGAATGTGAAGAATATGGCTGGTGGATACTCGGCATGGGTCGACAACGGGTTTGCTCAGGACTCAGCACCACCAGAGGAGTTAAAAACTGCTTGCAAGTTTCGGCGTTGAGATAGTCTATAAACCTAAATTTGGTTTATGGTATTATTGTATGCATCAATGCATGTTTTTTATTGTACGTGAAAAATAATGTCATGTGTGTATGTCTTTTTTCTTTTTTTTTTGAATAAAATATGAGACATGTGTATGTAAAGTAAGGGCTCAAAGTGTTATAAAAAGGTAGGAGTTGATTTTTTGCTTAAGAAATTTACAAAATATATGTTTTCAAAAGAAACTAGAAATGATTAATAAACACAAACTTCACAACATCAACAATTCTTATTATATAAGAATAAGTTGGTTTTAACGAATTTACAAAATAGAACTCACTACAATTCCACTCAGACACTCAATAGAATCGAACCTTACTATAACTCTCTCTAACCTACACTCAAACAATTAAAGATGAAAGAATCAGAAGAACAAGTTATATGAACAAACACTAACTTATATTGAAAGAGAAATATTTGAACAAATGAAGAAAAATGAAGTGTGTTACTCATAATTACTCTTCAACAAGTTATATGAACAAACACTAACTTATATTGAAAGAGAAATATTTGAACAAATGAAGAAAAAGAAGTGTGTTACTCATAATTACTCTTCACAGCTAAATATATACATCTAGTCTAAATTCGAATATGAACCGGAGCAACCCGACTATCCACCCAAATATCAAATGGATAAAACCTGCGCCTTTTTTTTCTTTGAAACAAGTGAGCCGTAGTCCAAAATAATTGAGAGTTTGACAAGATTAGCCCTCCTACACTATATACTTACAAAGAAACACAAATACCGAATAATAAATATAAAGAAACAAAGAAATAAAAGGATATGTATAAAGAATACAGATGAAGATGAACAATGATTTAAGTTTGAGTCCATATGCTTATTTCAACATCCCTCTTCAAACTAAATCACTTTCACATTAACATTGTTCTTGAAATGGATCAACAAGACGCATTTGATCACATAACCAATTATGTTGAACAAAACCCAAAGCTTTAGTAAAAATTTCAGCAATATTAAGATCTGAATCTATATTTAAAACTTCTACAACACCTTTAGAGACTATCTCTTATGAAATGAGTATCAACATCAAAATGCTTTGTTTTTTCATGAAAAATTGGATTAAGAACCAGTTTAATTGATGACTCATTATCACAAAAAATAGGAACTGAAATAAAATCTATTAACCTAAGATCAAACATAAATTTCAAAATCCACATGATTTCACAAGAAATAAAACCAAGAGCACGATACTCTGATTTTGTGGAAGAACGAGAAAGAGTTTCTTGTTTCTTGCTTTTCCAAGAGATAAAAGTATCTCCAAGAAAAATAGCATAACATGTAACATAACGTCTAGAGACAAGGCACGTAGCCCAGTCGACATCAACATAACCTTTTGTTAAAAACCTTAGATTTTAAAATAGAAAACCTTTACTTGGATTAGACTTAATATAATGAAGTAATCTTAGACCAATATTTAAATGGAATTTACGAGGACTATGCATGAACTGACTTAACACTTGTACAGTGTAAGAAATGTCAGACCTTGTGATAGTCAAGTAAATAAACTTACCAACAAGTTTCTGAAATAAAATAACATTTTGTAATAAAACATCATTTTTATATATACCATAATCTTTAATTATAATGTTCAAATCCAAAGGAGTTTTTACAGGCATAACTCCAAATTCTAATGTTCAACATTCCAAATCTTTAATTATAATGTTCAACATTCCAAATTCATGTAATAACTCCAAGCAATATTTCCTTTGGGTTAAACAAATACCATTTTTAATATCCACAACTTCAATCCTTAGAGAAACTTTAACTTTCCAAGATCTTTAATTAGAAATTTAGTTTTTAAAAAATCTTTTACTTTATTTATCTCAATCAAATTATTTCCAGTCAAAATAGTGTCATCAACATCAACAAGTAAAACAACAAATCATTAATACTCTGAATAAAACCAAATTCAAACAAAGAACTACACAACTTTTCATTCCACTTTCTTGGGGCATGTTTGAAACCATAAAGAGGTTTTAAGAGCTTACAGACATGTTTATCATCTTTATCATGATATTCAAGAGCAAGAGACATATAAACATGTTCATCTAACTCACCATACAGAAATGCATTATTTATATCTAATTGAGAAAGTTTCCAATCAAAATTAATAGTAATGGAAATAACAGTCATAATAGTGACCTTTTTGCTACAGGAGAGAAAGTTTCATCATAATCTAAACCTTCCCTTTGATTATAACCTTTAGCAACTAACATTGCTTTAAATCTCTCTACTTATCCATTAGATTTATATTTTATTTTATATTCCCATTTGCATCCTATTGGTTTTCTATTAGAGGGTAAATCACAAATAATCCAAGTTTTATTTTTGTACAAAGCCTCCATATCCTCATTCATAGCCTGTACCCAATTTGGATCCAAGACAGCTTCATAATAAGACTGAGGCTCTACACTACTTTTATTTAAATTAGAAACAAAACATTTATGTTCATGATTAAGAAAAGAATAATTCATAGATTTTTCAATACCATATTTATACTTCCATTTTACAACAAAATCATTAAATTTTTGAGGAAATCTAGACTCTTGATTTAACCTCCTAACAGATTGACTATCAGAAAAACGTGGTAACAAAGAATTATTTTCCTTAGAACTTCCTAGAGACTCAGTGTAACATCCCAATTTCCAAGCCCAATTTTTTTTTAAAAAAATTAAGTAATTCTCAACATAGTCTACCAAAACATTTCCCATGCCATATCATTTGCAAACAAAACTATAACAGTGTGTCTGAAATCATAGTGTCAAAGTAAAATCAATCAGAGTACAATCCCAGAAAACTCCATGCGGAAATCATGTGTGTGTGTGATGCGCTGCTACACTGCCGGCTCCTTCCTCTTAGACGAAGAGGTACCTGAAACCAAAACTAAAACTTTAAGCACAAAGCTTAGTGAGTTCCCCCATCATACCACATACCATACATACATATCACATTCATACTGCCGGACAATTCTGGGGTGCCCGACCTACCCAGTACGGCCATTTTGGGGTGCCGACCTACCCGTGTCAAGCCATTCTGGGGTGCTGACCTACCCATGTCAAGCCATTCTGGGGTGCTGACCTACCCTCCGGCCCTATCGACCGAACCTCGGGGACTATTCCACCCCCTACTGCTACTTTCACATATAACACAACGTAAACATACTGTCAGACGTTTCTGGGGTATCCGACCTACCCTTCGGTCTTAACAACCGAACTTGGGGACTATTCCCTCCCTACTACCACTATCACATATAACATATCATGCCAACATATAAACATATCATCACATACTGTCAGACATATCTGGGGTGTCTGACCTACCCTTCGGTCCTAACAACCGAACTCTACTACTATCACATATAACATATCATGCTAGCATATAACATATCAGGTAGTAGCAAACACAGATGCATATCACAAAGACAAACATCTATCATACGATTCCTACTGGTGGGCCGGCATTGTGGCCGTAGACCCACCGCTACTGGAAGGTAACTCACCTCGAACGAGTAGCTGCTGATAATCTGTGCGGGGAACCTCTGTTCGCTGCTGCTTCGGAAATCCTCCGGCTATAATCCCCACAAAACACTCAGTCAGAAGCTGATATCTACTCTTGGGGTAAAAATGACTATTTTACCCCCAACCAAGTCCAAGTCAAAGTCAACTGCCAGTTGACCCGACTCGCCGAGTTGGGTCGTCAACTCGTCGAGTCCCTAACCCTTAACCTGTCCTTATCCACGACTCGACTCGTCGAGTTTGGCAACGACTCGACGAGTTCCTCCTCTATATGAACATCGAATGATCCTTCATCCGACTCGCCGAGTTGTATGAACAACTCGTCGAGTTCACCTTCATCTGATGAACAAGTTCTGACCTTGACTCGCCGAGTTGTATGAACAACTCGTCGAGTTCATCTTCAACCATAAGGAGATTGCCTTGGACTCGCCGAGTCTGTTCTAGCACTCGTCGAGTCCCATGAACTCCAGGTCTAAGGCTAAGTCCAATACATTGGGTCACTCCTTCGGACCTTCTACAACCCTTCTAACACCCAACTGAGTTCTTTTGACCCTCAACAGATGTGGCACTTTATGCCTTGGACTCGTCGAGTCCCAAGAACGGACTCCCCTAGTCGATAACGTCCACACCCTAAATCCTCGATTTCTGATGTACAACCTTTGACCAAAAGATAGATCCAAGCCCCCAAGCTCGATCTAGCACGTAAAGTTTTGAACTTTACGTGCATGCATGGGACTTTTGAGCCTAAAAGGCTTTAAAATGGTTCTTATGTTGCATGGGACCTTCCTTGGGTGCAAAAGCAACCCAAATCTGCCTTGTGACTCCTCCCAAGACTTAGATCCGAAGTCATGACCACCAACCATGTGTGTAATCATGGTTGGCTACCTCATATGGCTTAAAAAGCCCTAAATCTTCCCCAAAAAGGGATCTAACAAACAAGCAAGCAAGGTACAGACTTTATACCTTTCAAAGACTGCAAATGATGAACCAAACTCGAATCCTTCAGTATCCTCTTGATCCTTCTATGCTCTTCCTTCTTCCTTGAGGTCAAAACCCACAAAAATCACTCAAAAGCCTTAGATCTTGCACCAAAACACTTAGGGTTTGCTATGGAGGGTTTCTGGGAGCATAAAGGGGCGATGGAGGCTGTATAAGGTTGTTTAAATAGGGTGCAAACCCTCAGATTAGGGTTTTGTCCAGTCAGAGCCTACTCGTCGAGTCCGGGACCCGACTCTACGAGTCCATCACTTAAATCCCGCGTCTCATCCCGCTTCTACTCGGCGAGTTGGGCCTTCAACTCGCCGAGTCCCAGGCCAAAAATGCAAAATTACTTAAATAAAATACATACCAGGAATCGGGTGCTACACTCAGAAATAACCATCTCAGGTTGCGAAATAGGCATCTTACAACCAAGAGTACCATCCTGATTATCAGTTGCATTCAAATTTTGATTACCTTCCTGATAAGTTCTAGTTGCACTTAAGGAAGGATCTACACTAGAATCACCTTCCTGATTGATATGAACCAAGACTCTATTAGAATGATCATCATTAAGAGTACCCGATCAAAGAATT